GTTGACCACTCTGTCGTTCAGCGTCTTGGCGGAGATCTTGTTCAGGGGAATGATGGTGTACCTTCGCTGCAGCTCTCCCTTCTCCAGCAGCTTCTTACCGGTCACCTTTGAAGACAGAATCCACACCCTTCGGGTTAAACGTGCCATCTCCCCCCACCAGCTGCTCCACCGCCGCTCCTTCACACACACACACCTCTGTGTCCACCACGATGTTGTAGAGCCGCCCGCCGGCCACCACCTCCAGCGCCGTGGCGTAGGAGACGTCGCTGACTGTGATCAGGTTCGCCAGCAGCCCCTTCACTTTGCTGCGCTCCCATCCTCGCTCCGGGTCCCTGAAGAGGAGGGAGACAGGTTTCACGTCAAAAGCCCGGCCCGGCCCCGGTCGCTAACTCAACCTAACCCGCAAGGGATGGCAACTGGGCCTCCACGACTAAGTATTTTCATACTAAGGTTAATCTATACAACAGGTTAGCTATGAAACCTGTTTACGATGCATAAACCACCTGAAGCACTTTGTAATGGTTTCATAAACAGACTTTATGACAGCTGTTACCGATCACTCTTTTCCTTGCGTCACATCTGGCCTTCACATGCGTTCCACGTCTGGTTGAAGTGTTATTGACGTGAACTGGAAACTTTGTTTACGAAGCACGTTCTTGGACACCAGCTGAGCTGATTTCCCAACTAGGGAACTTTTCTTTTTTTTTTTTTTTATTGGTAAATTTGAAAAATCTTGTGATTTTAAGTCTAGATTTGAAATATCTTGTAGATGAAAGTCCTTTTTGAGCATAACTAGGGGGGCTCCTGATTAGATTTTGTCATTAAAACCAAGAACTTACAGTGAATGCAGCATTGTTGAAAGAAATTTATTCTGAGCTGGAAGATGATTTCACAGCCGAGAATAAATGCATAGGTCTGTTCATATTTTCCGATTGCTGATTAGGGTGGGGGATTCAAATCTATTTCAGAGACTTATATTGGAAGCAAAGCTGGTCTTTTGACAGATGTTTCCCTCAGCTTTTAGACTGACCATTGCCTGGATTAGGGGGAAAAAACTCCCACCAAAGAAAAAAAGCTCCAGTAATAATAAAAGAACGAAAAGGCATTCTTGCTGAATTAAATAAAAGAACAGGCGTCGTGTTGAACGAGTCCTTACTTGTAGTCGAAGCGCAGGTTGGGGAAACGCGACATGAGACGCTCGTGGGTCGCTTTGAGTTGAGCCGCCTCTCTGGAGAGCTGCCTTCTTTTTTCCAGCAAACTTTCTTCCTTCCCGTCTGTTCCGGGACAAACACAGGAGCACGGTGGTGGGAATGTTTTAAGATTCTTGGATGTAAAAGCAACACACACGCGTTACCTTCATAGTTGAGCTTGTTTAGGTCGGCCTGTAGTTTCTCTTTGCTGCTTCTGACGGCCTGCAGGCTGTCCTGGTCTCTTTTGTAGCCGCTGTCCATCTTCTTCACCTCAGCCTGTTTGGTCTTCAGCTCGGCTTGGGCGTGCTTCAGAGTCATTTGTGCCTGGAGAGAGGAAGAGGGGGGGTGTAAACCGCTGTTGGCAAAGATTCGGGGTGTTAGCAGGAAAGGCGAGAGGCCGCTGCTTGCCTGCTTGGCCTCGGTGTCGGCTTTGCTCATGTCGTTCTTGCAGGCCATCATCTGTCCGGCGATGGTCGCCTCTTCTCCGTCCTCGTTGGTGGACAGCCCTGCGGACACGGCTTTAAAATGCTGCTCGGCGGCCTCCAGAGCGGCGCTGTCCTTCTGCCCCTCCTCCTGAACGGTCTGAAGCTGCTCGGCCAACTTGGACACCTCCTGCTCCTTCACTACGAGCATCTTCTTATCCTAACGGACGAACAAACAAACAAAAAACACTCATTTGGGCAAGAACTCAGCGCCGTTCGCCTTCTTTACATGCTGGCAAAGAAATAAAATTTACCTCCTCCATGCTCTTGACAAGCTCCTTTCTCTTTTTGGTTTCCTCTTTGAGATTCTGCTTCTTCAAGTCGAGCGCGCTCTGAGCTTTGGTGTCCACGCGCTGTACATCAGCTAAGGTGTCCTCCATGGTCTTTAACACTCCATTCACCTCCTTAAAAAGGAGCAGAACAAAATCAGAGACAATCTGTTGGGGCTCAAAGTCCATTCTCTGCACAGAACGCAGGTTAAAAAAGAAACAAATGTTCCGAAAATTCAAGGTGAAAGATGATAAGTGGACAGACGAAAGGAAACAACTCTACACAGAATAGTTTTAAAAGCGACCACCCACCTGATCTTTCTTCTTCTGGAGCTCCTGGATCTGGGCCGAGAGCTCCTCGATCCTGCTCTCGTTCTCGGCCATGCCGGCCTGCATCTTGCAGATGTTGTCCTGCATCACCTTCAGGTTCCCTGCCGACTTGGCCTTGGTCTCCTCGGCGCACACAAAGAGCCAGGCCACATACAGGCGCGAAAGGTGCTGGATCTCGCGCATCAGCTTCTGGTACTCCAGGTACGAGGATCGTTCCTGCGCACCAAAGAAGGGTCAAATGTAGATCAACCTCATGTAGAAACCGGTGTAGGAAAGGTGGCGCTTAATGATCTCACACCTCTGCAGGTGTTAAGGCCTCTGTATCACACGTACCTCTTGCAGTTTCTGCATAGTTGGAGTGATTTCCTCATCCAAAATCTGTGTACAAAGAAAAGCAAAATGGGGAAAAACACAGGACATTGTTTGCTGTCATCGCCCTTCTGAAGACAAAAAATAAAAGTAGACTCTGTGACACACATACAGTCTGAATCTCCTTCAGCTTGGCTTCTTTCTTCTCAATTGTCTTCTGGGCACTTATCTTTTTACATTCATACATTCTGGTCCCTGCAGCCTCCTCAATCATGGCAAGGATCTGGAAGAAAAAGCGGGTGCTCTTAATCCCGCCCCACACCCCTTGACTAGGTTTTATTAGTGATCTGTGTTTGTTTTGTTTTTTTTACCTCTGGCGGTTTCATGTTCAGAACCTTGGTGATTCTTCCCTAAAGCAGGGCAAACACAAACAAGATATTTAGCCTGCATATTTGTAGGAGGAAAAGTTGAAAAGACAGCCAAAAAGCTGAAAACACAATTGGACTGATGGTGAAAGGCTGACCTGCATGATGAGGAAGTGTGGGTTGTTGACATTGAGGCCAACAGAACAGAACAAATCCTGCACCCGTGTGTTGTTGGCATTGACTCCATTGATGAGATACTTGTTCCTGCCACCTATTACCACCTAAAATACGGGATAAAAACATGCAGCTTGACATGATGATTGCAGAGTAGCATCCTAAACCACTCTCAAATGCGTAAAAACGGTTTATTTTCCTTACCTGTCTGGTAACAGTGATCTCGTCGTGGGTTTCGAACCCCAGAGGACTCTGGCTTTTGTTTGAGTTGTCAAAAGTAATAGAGACAGTGGCCTTCGTGATGCCACCTTGCCCATTCTTATAAACCAAATCCTGGAGGTTGGAGGCTCGCACCTTGAACGTGAAGTGAAACCAAACACACGCTTCTTATAGAACCATACGACATCACTCTTAATACATAATAACAGAATGGAACAGGTTCAAACGACCGTGAAGAATAATTGTAGCCATCTTACATGGGATAGGTTAGAAATGCCCAAAAGAAAGCATATGGAGTCCAAAATATTGGACTTGCCGCTGCCGTTCAACCCAGTGATGGCGTTGAATAGCGGGTCAAAGCCGTTGATCTCGGTCCTCTGTGCGTAGGATTTGAATCCTTCGATGATAATAGACTTGATGTGCATCTCTAGTTAAATTCTTTCTCCGCCGATTCCGGAGGTAAGATTTGCACCAGCGACGAACCAGTAGGTAAAAAAAACACGGTTCCAGACCTGTGTTTACAACAGACAACCCGACAACTGCGTCCTGCTTGAATTTTGGCGGCATTGAGGAAGCAGGCAGCCGGTAGTTGGTCTTTTCTGCGCCGGAGATATATTGGAACTAAAAGTAAATATTGCCAAAGGATTTGTTGCGAATGGCCTAAATTGGGTCTATCTGACTGATTCAAATTTTATGAATAAAAAAATATACAGATAATGTACTATTATCCTTGAAAAATATATTTGCCCATTTTCATCAGGCAGATTCTAAGTCTACTAAAATGCCTCTGACCATCGCTTGTAAAAATGTTAATTGGCGCTATCTGTTGGCGTAAGAGTGAACTGCAAGTGGATATATAGAAAAAAATATAACAAACAACACTGTAGGTTCTCCACACTGTAGGTCAAATGTATTCAGTAGAACACAGACTGAGGTTTTAGCATAAAAATGCCCATGGGCCTTGTTAGCTATACCTAAGAGTGTTAATAATTAAACCCGTTACATATATATTTATATATATATATATAAATAACAATGTGTTTATTGATTTGAATTGAAAGTACAATCTATGGCAAATCTGAAAACATGAAAAATTGCCAGAATTCACATGATGGAAATGACTGAGAAGATAGATTTTATTCAATGGTGGTGAGTTCAAGAACCCGAGAGGAATTCCAGAATTATCCACGCTTTTTTCTCTTATCACATGTCATTGTAACAGCTCATCTGTTATATTTTATATAATTTAAGGTAAACACTTAATTTAGCATGAAATGTAATATCAGGATGCTATCCCTGTTCAATGCTAAAAGAACAATCATCTGCAAATGTGGTTTTAATTGTAGATTTTCAGGTTAACAACTGCCAGGCATAGACATATACAGATGCTAAATCAAAATCACAAAATTCTGAGTTTATAGTGGAGAAAAGAGAAAGAACTTCTGTGTGAAACAGGCAAGTGAATACTGTATAAGCATTTCAAATATCATAAACACACAAAATAAAGTCATACGAAGCTGTATAAACATTGTAATTACCATTAGGATGGATTTACAACTTATAATGCTACTCAGAAATTCCACTTGACCCAAGTACAACACAATACAATAGCACCATTAGTATGAGGATACACACCTGAGACATGAAGGCAGGCACATGAAACTGTTGCCATTACCCCTCCAGGGGCACCTGACACAAGGACAAGCAAACCAGATTGAGGGCATAGAAACATATCTGGGACATAACAGCACAATCCCCTTTGTCGGAGTAGAAGGTGGAGGGCTTGATGTAAGCACAGTCAAAGTTCTTCAGATTCAGAGGGCGCTGGCAGTGCTTCTCGCTAAGGGCGACCAGGGCGCGCACTAAGGTGTATTTGGCTGAGCAGGTTACGGCTGTCACTGAGCGCACCTTGTCGAAGTGCAGCAGGAAGCAGGCGTCATCCTGTGGAGAGGAATAAATGAGACTTTGCTTTATCATCAGCTCAGTCACCTGAAGTTACAGTGCTGAACAAACCCATCAGACCACCACCGCCCAACGGGAGGTTTATGCCAAAGCAGCCCCAAATGAACAGCACTGGTAGTTACCCAAATAATTATTTTGTTTATCTACAATGGTTAATACATCACTATGTGAAAATATTCAACCAAAATAATATTTTTAACTCTAAATTCTCATTTTTGTTACTGAACAAAACACACTGTTTTGTATTTAAATAAAGAAAAAATAGTAAAGAACATTATAATTTATTCATGAAGGTGTCAAATTGTATTTATTTACTCGCACTCCTGAGATAAACGATTGAGAAGATTCAAACAGTGGGATTTGAAGGAGTAGAGACACCAGGAAGACCACTGCTAATCTTTAGAAATGATTGTTTCTATATCAGAGTTTGAGAAATCTCCACAATGATCATAATGAGGAAGGTTTAAAGGGGAAAAGGTTGCTAAAAGGCCTTTACTGAGGACTGCAAACGTCCTGAAACACCTGGGGTACTTAAATTGATAGGAGATCCAGGTCAAAGTCCACGTGGGATATAGTAGATTCAAAGACTGCTCACATAAACGTTTCATCCAAAGCAAGTCTGAGGCCACAGCTATGTGCAACCCCATAACAATTATAGATTTATATAAGAACATCTAAAATTCTGCTCCTCACACATAAAACACTTAATGACCAAGCAGCATTATATCTTGGAGACCAATGACCACTGTACAATCAACTCTCAGAATGCAGATCTACTGGTTCTTGGGGTTTTAAAAAGTACAATGGGAGGCAGAGCCTTTAGTTTGCAGGCTCCTCTCTCATGGAACCAGCTGCCTTTATACATTCAGTAAGCAGCCAACCGTTTTACTTTTAAGATTAATACTTTTTGACAAACACTCTTAGTCATGGATGGCTCAGGTGACACTGAACATCCCATAGTTAGGCTGCTTTAGGACTGGAGTACTGGGAGAACTCCCATGATGCACCTTTCCTGAGTATGTTCTCCTTTTTCCCCATGGACATGTGAAATTATTAGTGGTATTAACATCTGGTTCAGAAAGTATTCCTAAGAAGCTCATCATTACACTCCTGTGGATGCCTTATTAGCTCAGGATGTGGAATTGGATCAACCTAGAGATTCGGTGCAATAATCTGGTTTCCTTAACTTGGAAACATCTTTTTAACTTGTAACTTTTCTTTAACTGCATGAACCGGACTAATTTAGAATTTGACTAACTGAAAATGGTTGTGTTATGATTGGATTACAATGAATTGGACTCTAGCAGGTTTGAATTTAATTAGTTTTGGGGGGAATTATTTTAAATTGTATTTCTAACAGGTGGTTTGATAAGCACTTTAGTTCACGGAGGTAAATGAGTTGATTGCACAAGGCAAAGGGGTAACTGATGTAACTTTAAAAATTTTTCTCTGAGGCACCTCTGAAACTGATCAAAAGGATAGTTTCACCCCAAAAATGTGTCAGCATGACATTTTCTAGTCACATTTTCTACATTCAAATGGTTGTTGCTCGTTTATCACCCTGACTATATTACAGTGTCAGAGATTTATGTTTATGCATTTAGCAGACGCTTTTATCCAAAGCGACTTATAAAGTAGAACAATGCAGAGGATATTCAGATTTGAACCGGAGATCTGCAGTCAAATGCTCAACTAAATGCTCAGCTAAAGATGGCAAGTGGATTGGCTTCATCACAAAGCAAAAAAAAAAAAAAAGTGAGGAAGGCATTACAACATAACTATTATATTGGATTTGAACATTCCATGCCTTTTTTATCTCTAAGTTTTAAAAAATCCAAATACAGACATCATTTACGGAAAGGTTTGGACATTTTCACCAGTACAAGTTTGAATACATAATGTTTTTAATGTTTTTAATATAATGTTTATTAAATCCTTAAATTGACTGTGTTTTTCAGACTCTTAATTTACCAGATTCACTGTATTTAGAAAATATAAACCAGAGCAAACAAAGAAACACACAAAAACCATAAGAGACACAGTGAAAATGAGAAAGGTTCTAGAATAAACATCTACCAGTTGATCTGATCCTGAAGTCAGGTGTGGGTGTCAGGATTACTTATAAAAGAATCTCAGAGTAATGAATAAGTCTTTTCATACAGTTTTTCCATGGCTGGTGCCAAACACCGTCCGAGAATCATGAGTAAGTTCCAAATAAACATGAAATTTAAAATGTTCCAAAGAAATATAGTCTTCCAATATGTACAGTATCTAGTGTAAAAATGAATCAGGGCGTGTAAGAGTGCATAAAGGTCAAGAAAACAAGAACTGCAAGAGAAACTGCCCTGTCATCATGGTCAGTCTAGTCACAGTGGATACATGTTCTGTGGTTAGATGAGTCCACATTTCAGCTGATTTCAAGGGGGGAAAGTTATTTGTGGCCTATGTTTCAAAAGATGAAAAAAAACATCTAATTTTTATTCAGGAAAAGTTAAACGAGCAAGGAAATGTGCAGGCACGGAGGGTCATCAGCACCAGAGTTTAGGGTTTATGGGGTGTGTGTTATGTACCATGAATGTAAAGGTGTTTATTGGAATCTCTGTGTGGTACCATAAAACAAAACTTTTCCTGGGAAGAAAATGATCATTTTTGCATTCTGCAATTCTTCACTGACAAAAGGGTGTGTGCCCATTGCTGGCCTGCCTTTAGTCTCCTGTTGAAAATGCATGGTGCACTAAGATGAGGAGGATAGAATGGACATAGATTCTTCTGAAAATATTGTCCGATTTCAAAGAGATGGGTGATCTTATTAAAAGAAAAAGCTACGCTAAAACATAGGAAAAGCGGCTGCAATGTGTATAGCTGCATCAAAATTAGAATTTGATATCCTTAAATAAATTACGTAAGTCAGTCAGGAAAGATCCTTTCATTTGACTTGTTGCTGTTAAATAAATCAAATTAATTTCATAACTTCCTTGATTTCAAGATACATAAACAGTACAGCTGATATTCTCAGTCATCTGAACAATACAAAATAAGGGAGTTTGCTGTCACATTACCACATCAGGGTTGCGTCCATCAACAAGAGTCAGGTCTTCCAGGGACCAGATCTCCGTCTTTGTGTAGCAGTCCTGAATGCTGGATCTCTCAGTGCTGGACCCCTTGGATCCAGATTTTAGGGTCTTCTGAGATACCTGACATTGCACTACCCATAACTCCACTAGATTTCCCTTTCCAACTGCAATATAGAAAGTAAAACACTCTTGAACATGTCACTGATGCTAGGCGTTTCACTTCCAGCATGAAATTGAGCAAAAAAATGTTTTTTTACCTGAGACACACAGAAAATGTCTTCCACATGTTGGCTCCTCGATCTCTATAAACTCCACCAGTCTATGTTTTGCCGGTCGGAACAAAACTCTCTGCATCTCCTCCCTCAACAGAGATGACATCACTGGGTAGGACGAGAGGAGAAAAAAACTTCACAAAAACGGAAAAAAAAGGTCAAAATCATGCAAGGACTATTGGCAAAAGGTGAAAAATCGGAATAAGAAGCGGTGCAGGAGCAGCTGGAAATCTGGCAGTGGTTGTTGAGGGAGGTGGTGAGATTTGATGTGATCGGATTATGTAAAACTGTGGTTGTGGGTTATTCTGCACACACACAGACACGCGCACACAGACATACAGTCCACTCTGATGAGGAGGTATGATAATTCATCTTTTATTGAGATAATGGTTGTATTCCATCACACCCTTAGGGACCAATTAAAGGCCAATCTCTTCATCAGTTTCCATTTTTGCTGTTCCACTCAAGGTCCATTATGATGCTATAAAGGTATTCTTTAAGTGAATTTCACTCCTACTTTTATTTTTTTTCCGTCCGAAACAAACAAACACAACAACTGACACATTCAGCGTCGGTGTCGTGATGTCCAGAAGGAAAAAAAAGGGTCAGGTCTTTCTTTTTGTGGTCACAGCGTCGCCTCGGCCGGCTCACACAAAGACGCCGCTTTGTGCCGTGGCACGGTGCCCGCAGTTTGTCCCTGATTAAACGGCTGTTGTGTGGGAAAAGGATGTCCCACAGCACTCTACATGGTTTCCATTACCCTGTTGTAATTCAATATGTGAATATGTACAAGTGAGGTGAAGCACTTATGTGGGGTGGGGGGGGTGGCTCCAGCAGATAATTGAGAAGACATGCTGGCACACAGGCACCACAGGATGCTTTTGAATGTGTTTTTTTTTAATAAGATTTCATTTTGTGAGAGGATTGTTTGCTCGAACTCGACCAAAACACTGATTCGATTTGTTAACAGGATAGACTGTGGCTCCGTTGGATCTGTCACGTTTGTGAAAACAAAGAAGGGTGCCACATCACTACTAAGTGCTTTACTTTTCTTGTTGCCGTTGATGGCTTTTGTGGGTTTTCACTCAAAAGACGCCATGTCTCTGGGATGGAAAGACGAGCGCAGAGGCAGGAAGCAGGGACGGTGGGAGAAATACAAGAGTTGAAACCTATGAATAACCAATTAGGCTTACTCTGCTTACCTATCCTCTCACCATGGCAGGATCCCTTCAGAGTGGCTTTTGAAGTGTTTGTTGGCATGCACAAGAGTAGACGCTGCAACGATTTCCTGTTTGCAATGAATCTGAAAGCTGTAATCATCTATATTTGGATCCATAAGATAGGTGATGGTGAATACTTACAGATGGGAGGGAGACCAGATGAAAGTGTGCAGCTGTCATAACTCAAAGTAATTTCCTAAAAAAGTTGCTACAGCGCAAAACAGTTTACAGACATTAAAACTTTTCATACAAATATAAGGTTCAGACTTTTTGCTGGAAATTATTAAGAACGCCATAGTTTTACAGACCTTTTAATACAAAAGAGACAAATATCATGCCAGTCCAGAATTGCTTAAATATTCTGTCTACTCCCACTAAAAGCAGACATTAATCTGTGGTTGGGAATCATATCTTGGGCTAAGAAATACTTTTGAAACCCATTAAAATTTTTATTAAAAAGGAGATACTTTAGTCACTCTATAAACAAATGCAAATAACGCCTCCTCTGTGGGGAAAAAGATGATCCAGAACCCTGAGACCTTCACTGAGCCCCAAACAGTGAACTATTCCAGGGTCTGACAGACTAAATCTGCTATCTTTCATTTTTTTTATTTTGTTGCTGTGACATCTGAGCTGAGAAAATCATCGAGGCAAGACATATTGAAAGCAAAGACAGCAGAGGCACTGGATGCAGCAGGTGCATATGAAGAATAAATTGGGCTACAAAGAAAAAATGAATGCAATTTCATCATGCAGAATGGAATACTGAGCGAGGGGAAGGTGATAAATGAAATAAGGAGAATCCCTGAGCAGCAGAAGAGGACTGATCTCAACAAACCACAAGAGGGCAGAAAACTACAGAGAGAGAGAGAGAGAAAAAGAAGAATGAGGGAACAGATGGAGTTCACACAAAGTGAAGAAACTAATTACCTTAGGAACATATCCTCTGGGCAGGAAATCTATTTTGTATGGTTAATGTAAAGACAGGCTTCAAAGTTTTTAATGATGCAAAATGAACCGATCTGGGTTAAACCATGTTATCTAAACAAATTCTGCCTCCCAGCTTATGATTCACAATAGACACGCTCCCTACAGAATTTAAGATATTTGAGAGAAATGCTGACCAACATATAAAAAATAAAAAAAAAGAAGATGTAGGTCATTTTAAAATAACAGGACATGTGACACAGCTGTATTGAATTGTTTTTGTCAGAGGAACATTGAATGTGTTTATAAGGGCATGTTTGTTTACACTGAATTTAGATCATGATGTCAGATGAACTAGTCATGCCCCTCTCAGATGCTCCGGAATGCTCATGGCTCATCCGATTGTTTTCCTCCTCCTGTCAGGTCTCCTGTATTTCTTGTGCTGCTCTGGATGCTATCCAACAGGAAAGGCAAGCTTATTTATTGAAAGTATTCCTAAGTCATGCTTGCTAAAAGACCCGGCATTGGTATGAGTTGATAAGGACATGTTTGGGGTGCAAAACAGGTATGCAATTATGAAAATGGGATCAAACCATTCCTCTTCTTGATCATAAAGAGAAATGTGTGACACTTGGCAGACAGAACCCATCGGTTACTTAGAGGTTAGCAAGAGACTGGAGACAGGGATGGTAGTAATAAAAGAAAGGGGACTTTTTGTGACTGTTAAAATGCCAATGAAAAGGAGGGACTCTGCCTTCTCGATGTTGAACTGGCTGTGAGTTTCAGTCGACAAGGTTGTCAGGGAGGTACAAAAACAACACCCCAACCTTGTCAATGACAGCAACCACTAAAGTTTCTCTGACAGCTTCTTTTCTGCACTTCAATTCCAAATGTTTTATGATTTATATCATATTTGCTATCAATTGATAAAAACATGTTTTATAGGAATTAGTGTGGCGTCAGGATAGCTGTGGTTTCACAGTGCCTTTTTTTAGCCTTACATTCATACATGGGGCAACCTGCTCATGTACCATACATTTCCTTAAGTATGGAAGTTCATCATTTGATCTTCCGATTAAAACACCTCCTGAAATTCCATCCTTTGCGGTACTAAACCACTTTTACACATTGTTAATGTGAACTCTTATGAAACTGTAGCTTACAAAAACCAGCAACCATGTGCTGCATACTGTTTTTTATCTTGGGTTCCTTAATTTAAATTGTGTTTTAATTGTAATGATTTGTTACCTTTGGTTCAAACAACAACACATGTATAATACATATCTATCGATAAACGTATCTCTGAAACATTGTAAGTGGACGTCTGAAGGGATGTTGTTAGGAATTCATAAGTCGTTCCATCAAGTTACTAATGTATTGAGGCTAAAAGTTAGGGGAACCTCGACGTTATATTGGTCCACGTCATGGGCGGGCGGCGCTTGTGATTGGATCTCGATAAAAAGGGAAACCCCTAACTCTCCGGCCGGGCCATCCCTAACCCATCCCTGCTCCCTGTTGGCGACCGCCCAAAATTACAGTCACATTTTACTCACTTACTGTAAATTGTATTTAGCTTAATGTCGTAAAATATTTTTTTTAAATACAAAACTCTTCCTGAAATAGGTGAACGCTCTGTATAATTCAACGCCTTTCAACATTAAGTATGGAGAAGTGGTGAAGATTATGGCTAGATACTATCCTAAATATAATATTGTTGGCACCGAAGGTGGTCTAGTGAGTCTAACTGGAGAAGCCACGAAAACGCGGAGTCATTTCCCCTTTGAAGATCAGTCAGCGGTTCCCTCCTTTTTTTGCTGCTACTGTACTTGCAAAATAGTGCGCCCTACTGTCTCTACTGCGCATGACAGTACGTCGTAATATGAAGTAGGCCTCCTGTTTTTCTCCCCAACCCGAAGTCCTCCTGGCCCCCACCACCTCGCATGCAACGCTCAAGTAAGCCAAACACGGAGGCAGCTGTCGAGTATTCGCCAAGGTAAAAGATTTTCGTTCCTTATACGAAGCGAGTGGTGCTGGCGTGTTGAAGAAATATCGGGTCGCTGTTGTCTGCGTTCGGCGTATTGCCGTGCGGAAGCGGTCGGACTGCAGAGCAGGCTTCAGGACTGTTTCCGCACGCTTGAGGGAGAGCAAGGCCCAGTGACCCACATTCTGAGCTGCCAGTATCTGTGTGTCCGAGTGGGCGAGCGCGTGCGCAAAACCTCGCTAATGTGTGTGTACGGGTGGCCATGTATGTGTGTACAATACATCTGCCGCGAAAATGTTTCCACCGTCCAAGGGTTTTGGGCATTTTCTCAGCCGCTGGTGTTTCTGAACGTGTCGGCTTGTCCGAGAACGTTGCCCCGTGCGAATGTTTAGGTTCGTTCTCTCGCGGTATTTGTGGACCGACGCTTGTATTTTGGAGATTATTTTGTGCTCAATGTCAATTGTTGCGTGACAGCTCCAGGCTCAGCGCCAGCTTGCCAAGATTGAGACTTGCTTTTTCGTTTTTTTTCCCCACTGAACGCGGGACGCTTTTACATGTCATAACTGTGTCATTCAATACTCGCAAATATAGTTGGAGCAAATGGGGGCAGTAAGAGCATTAAATGTCTCAGTTAAATGTGCAGTTTTCGGTAGCCAGCTTAGTTAGCCCGCTAGCTAGCTATGCGTTGCTTTCTCACGGTTGTATAACAACATTTGTGGCATTAAAAATATGTGAAATGTTGGCATGCCTTTTATAGGTATTGTTTTTTGGTTTTGTTTACATGTCTGTGGTCATGTGTCCCGAAGTCTATTCATTCGTTGTGTGTAGCACAGGATGTTCTTTGCTCACAGAAAATCCTCAGTTAAATGAGGCTTCACTTATTGGCCATCAGCAACGCATGGACATAGGTCATCGTCTCAGGGTAGGTGGACTCCAGATCAAATCAACGGGATATTCAGATCAGAGTCCAGAGGGATGGACTCCGTTGGTCTTTATGCCTTATTGTTGGCGCTGTGACCTTCCAGTTTACAGTCATGTTTTGTGGTTAAATCTGTTCAGATTGGGGTCGATCAGAGGCTATGGTCCCCGGTGAGAGATGGTGGCACTGCTCAATAAGTTTCAAACAAACTCTTTTTTGATCATTCAGCCACATTTTTCATGCTGGTTATTTACTCTGTAATTACAGGCCAAAATA